AAAAGTGTCCACCGCACTTAAGAGACACGACGCCGAACGAAACGTCAACAGAATAGACTCGCGAAGACGCGACACTGACGTCGTCCGCGTCCCGCGCACCGCGCGTCACATCACACAAATCGGCGTCTAAACAAACCTCTGTCAGGCGATACAAACAACCAAAACCAAAGGCGTCGACACGTATTGTTCGATATATATATATATTGTCATTATCATCAGCTTAGTATTTTAAATATATTATTCATTATTATTTTCTTAAAACACTGTTTCTCAATTATTCCGCCTATCACGAACCCGATCCGACAAGCGATTCAAACCCGCAACGAATCGCGGTTACATATAATTCTTTTTATTTATACACATGTGAAATCAAAGAATGTGTACAAAACGGGTAAAACGAATTCTGTAGGATAGCCTAAGATATCGAATTTATTTCTTAATCTGGCTGCAGACCTCTGCTCACAACCATCTTTCGCTGCTTTCTGATATTCATTTTTGTTAGGAGATACAATAAGCCCAAATATGTATTATCTTATATAGTCCGCGATTCACCACATCGTGTGCATTCAGTCGTCAATTTTCCTTAATATTTTAATAATATAGGACATTAGCGAGAATTGATATTTAGAGAGAAGTGAAAGTAAGAAAAAAAAGAAAGAGTAAGAGACTAATACAAAAATTACATAAAACTGTATAAAATAGTCATTTACACAATTACCTAGGAGCTCTTAGAACCTTACGAATTTCTTCAGATTTCAGAAGCCTGAATAAATCTGTATTCGCCATTTTGGGGAATGGCAAATTATATCCTTTCTTGAATTGTGATTCCTTGCGCCAAGTACCGTAAATAACGTCCAATTGTTCAAATACTGATTTTGCCCAGATGACGAAATGTCCAACATGACCACTAGGTGCCATCTTCAAAAGGTTTATTTTGTTGATATTCATTAGATCGACACCAGGGATGTTGCAAAATGCTTTACGTATTCCCTAGAAACAAGATTATTATATTATTATAATTACATATGTAAACAATATGTAATGATCCCTATAAAATTCTTTGTAAGAAAGTAGTTTACCTCATCCTTTCCATAGACAATCAATGGTCCACGTCGTTGAATACATCGACCATTATGCATTTTTCCTTTTCCTGCGTGGAATCTTTGCGATTTATACATCTAAAAATAAATGATATATATTTTATAATACGAATAAGTTTGAAGTTAAATGATAAACCTTGTACTTGGTTTTGAACAAGCTATTTAGTTATTTATACCACTTTCTATAGTGAATTAATCATTTGACGAAAACGCCTGAATACAATATTCTTTTTGATACTTACTAGAGGCGTTCAAGCTAAAGTGTCTAACAAAGAGAGGGAAAAAGAGATATATTCATTAGTGCGCACATCAATAACATAAACTTAGTATTAACTTATCTTTTGAATATCATTCCATGCCTTGATACAGCCTTGATACATCTGAAGAAAATTACAGCTTGCTTAGTTTTATTATACGTCTCGATTTTATCAGAAACAACCAAGGGAAATTCGGGAACCTCTTGAATCATGTGCCCTGTAATATGTGTAAAATAGTAACATAATATATACATTATAATATATACATTATTAATATATTAATACATTATTAATACATTATTAATATATTTACGAGAAACATGTAAATTACTACAAATTGTCACGTTACTAGAAAACCAATCAACAGAAAATCAGCAACACAAACTAAAAGATATTATTTGAGCACGAGACCAGAATTTCTTCAAGACAAAAGTATACAGGGTGTTCCAGATTCTCTTCCGCATATTTTGTGGGAACGTAGAACGGATTGAAGTAAACATAAAAAAGTCCCATACCATTTTGCGATATTCGCGATAAATCTCAAGATATTAATTAAAAAAGATTGGTGAATGATCACGTGAAATATGATAGATGAGCTGCAGTGGCGCTATCTGCCGTTGTATATTTCTACATTAGATCAAACTGAACAAAAAAAAGTCCTTTACCATTTTGCAAATAATCACATAGATTTTTAGATATTAATTAAAGAAAATTTATTATGATACACAATCATGTAACAATTTTAGATTTGAGGCTTTCACGGCCATTGATACAATATCTAGGTATAGTTTCCGGAATGGAGCCGTGTCTTGATCAGCGATGTGCCGACGTTTCGCAAACGTTTCACTTTGCATCAGGGCTGAGAACTCTGATACTGAGATCCCTTGGGTAAAGGTTGTCCTTATATGTCCCCTCCCCCCCCCCTCCTTTGTGTAGATGATGTTAGGGAGTAGGGAACGAGGCTTGAATCCAGCCAATCAGCGTATTTTAATTGATCAGCTGGTCAATTAAAAAGGGTGTATATCAGTTGGACACGGGGCA